TATCCTGGCGCGAACAGACCCATCAAATGACTCCTTCAATGTTTCCTCAGTTGTGTCCTCAGACAAACCTTTGACAAACAGTGTTTTGGACGGCTCTAAAAAAAGAAAGAAAACCATGCCTCAGTCACCATTGATACTAACAACGCCCAGATATTAAAAGTGCTTAGCAGAAGAGCCCATACATACAGATGTGGGTTGGGAAATGTTTAGGTTGAAGTTTTGTTATGATAAAAAACTTGACAATTATGGGTGATGGTCACACCAAATTAGTGTTAACTGACACTAAATGGCACATCTGGGAGTGCAAGATGCCAAACACATCACCTCCAGCACGTGCATTTAATAACAAAAAACAGCATTGTTTAGTACCACTGGGTATGTATAACAGTTAACCCTGTATGGGATTTTCTATGGAGTGGTGGGTGGATTTGAACTTCCAACCTTACAGTTAGCAGGCCCGGTGCATATCCTACAGTGCCAAAGAATGCTTACTTCAATGAAAGGGCTGGATAACAGCCACCTGGAGTTCGGTTATCAGCGCACAGGGGTCAAGACAGGGCGGGACAATGTAAACTAGTGAGAGGTCACTGTAACTACCACTACCAAAGAGCGGACGAAGAGGCTGCTCGGAGTTGCTGCACCTGGATCAGAACTTGACTATCTAGAGGAATTTCCTTGAGATTTCATCAGTATGTCTCAGATAATCAGTCATCATGTCCAGTACTGTTTACTCAGTAGCAACCAAAGAACGACTAAATTTGGAGGGAAGCCAGCAATAGCTTGAGTAGGAATTTCAAGTAGGAATAACAGGCCCTGACCTCTCCCCACATTTGTTAAGAACTTACGGCTTCTTGCATTAGGGGATCCTCTGGATCCTTGCAATTCCAGCCTGATGGCTCTGCCTTCAATTTCTCTTTTATTACAAGAATTTAAAGCTTCTTTAGCATCTTCACATGAAGCAAATTCTATAAATGCATACCTGAAAATCAAGAATCCACATGGAGAATGTTACTAAAGACATCATACTTTACACACAAAAATTCAGAGTCTGCTTCCAGGTCAACTGGATTTCTCCCTTTTTTAGACCTATTATAGGTAAACTGCAGTGTCGGTGTGGGTTGTTAAGGCCGGCAGTTCTAACTCACCAGCTGCTCCTTGGAAACCCTATACAGGGTCGCTGTGAGTCGGATCCCGACTCAATGGCACTTAGCAACAACATTCACTATAGGTCTAAGGAGCTCTGGTAGCCTAATGGTTACAAATCGGGCTGGTAACCTCAGGATCAGCAGTTCAAAACTACCAGGTGTTCCACGGGAGAAAGATGAGGCTGTCTGCTCCCATTAAGATGTACAGCCTTGGAAACCCTGCACAGGGTTGCTATGAATTGGAACCAATTCCACAGCAGCCCATAAAAAGATCCGATGACCTTACCCTCTAGATTTGCCATTCTGGTTCTGAGGCACCTTGATAGCAGTTGCCTTCTCAAATACTTCCTGGAGAGTTTCTTCTGTTGCACTGTAGGAGAGGTTACTTAAAACCAGTGTTTTTGATTCACCTGCAGATAAAGAGATGCCACATTCTTAGACCTTAACATCTAAAAACCATCTCAACTGTACATTGGGGCAATTTACATACCAACACAAATAAAACCTTTTGCTATTCTTAACAAAATGAGTATCCAGCCCGTACTAGCGTGCCCCACTTCCTTCCATCCTGCGTTCCTTTTAGGTATGCATTTACACATATAGTGTGAACTAATGTATCTTCCCAAAATATTCTAATTTTTAAATCTACAGGTTTCTAGGATAAACATTGGACTGCTAACTGCCAAGATTGGTAGTTTAAAACCCAATCACTCCTCTGAAACCCTGTACACAGTCACTGTGAATTGGAACCAACCTGACAGCATTTACCAACAAGTCTATGTTAAAATTTAAAATCAACCTACATAAATGGCTACTGTTCCAATGCAAAATGGTTTCATGTAGCCCTTACTTATGAGACTAAATTATTCAAAACCAGACTATCACCGTTCTTGGACGTCGTACTCATTGGACATCACGGTTATTAAGTGCTGTAGAGTTGGTTCTAACCCACAGCGACCCTGTATAGGGTTTCTGAAGAGTAGCTGGTAAGCCTGAACTGCCAACCTTGCAGTTCAAATAGCTTTGCAGTCTGCCACGGTAACTCACAGCACCATGCTAGTCACCCCAAAAGCTGAGACCCAGAAGCACTGAGGAAGCCTCACCGCTCCACGTGCTGCTCTTCCCACCTCTGTGCTCTGGATTTTGACCTTTCTCCCCAGTGTAGTACAAGGATATAGAACGGCCATCAATCTCTGTTCCTTGCTTTTCTTCAAAGGTTTTCTCAGCATCAGCTTCTGTTTTGAATTCAAGATAAGCAATCCTACAATAAGAATGACAAGAAAAAACAAATTACTAAATTTTACATAAACTGGAAAGTTTCTTAACACAAATGCTTTCATTTCAGTAAACCAGACCTTGTTTTAGATGCAAATTAAAACTACCTTTTGTTTAATAGGGAAGGAAACTTACAGGATTTGTGTTTCCCTTTTCAGTTCCTCCTTCCTGCCCCAACATCTAAATGCTCTTCTCTTAGAACATGTGTTCAGGCAAACATTACACCTCATTACAATGATTGCTAACACTTATAAATCATTCTAAGTCAGGCAAACTTCTTATTGTTTTTTTGCACACACCAGCCCCTATAAATTACTGACAGCATTCCCCACTTTACAGAACTTACCCTTTACTCTTTCCATCTTTGCTGACTAATCTGATCTCCAGGGCATCTTCAAACACTTCTTTTAATTCATCCTGAGTGACTTTGTAAGGCAAGTTTTTGGCCAAAAGTGTTCTGGCATCTCGGTCTAGATTTTAAAAAGAGAAAAGTCCAAAAGATTTATCGTTCAGCAAGGTTGTGAAGTATTATTTAATGTAAGATTGTCCAAGTATGGGGTACAGAAATAGCCCAACACCTGTATGAACTGTCAGCAAACAATTTGCTGAATAAAACATAACAGGCCTTAGAGTTCAACCCTACAGTAGGTACTAACTAGTTCTAAATGAAGGTGAAAAAGAGAAAAATCCACAGAATGTTCAGCTATAAAGAGTAAAGATACTTTAAAAGACCTGTAATCTCCACTGGAAATAAATCCACCAGGCCTTTCCTCCCAGTCTTTAGACTCCACTGAAAACTGTCTATCACGGGTGACCATGCTGGGCATGTATTAGTGGCAATGCCTCCAATTATCAGCAATATTTAAGATTATTGCTTAATACATACACAAGGTAGCAGTATGTAAGGTGTCATAGTACTGATCAAGTCAGGTGACAAATCTAAATAGATTTTAAAAATTCCATTTCAAAACCCGTATTAGCAAATGATTCCTTAGTATTGCAATGATTGAAAATCAGTTTTACTTTCCTACATACCTTTCTTACTGTCTTTTCCTTTCGGTCTCTCTAGTTTAATTTCATTACCAAAGACCTTTAAACCAGTGAGTTCCAAGGCTTTTTCCAGGTCTTCAGCAGATTCAAAATCCACATAGCCAAATTTCCTTTAAAGTGAAAAGGAATAAAAAGTCACATGGGAAAAATCAGAGTCCTACACAGCACACATTCTGGGCACCAGCAGCATTAATGGGACAGTACACACAAGGACTGTCCTGATGTGGCACTGTGGGCTAATGCACCAGACTGCAAAGTTGTTCTAACTCACCAGCTGCTCCTTGGAAACCCTATACAGGGTCACTATGGATCAGAATCAACTCGATGGCACTTTACAACAACAAAGGACTAAATAAAGGTGGACCACAGTCTCCAGATTGTAAATGTGGGCTAATGCACCAGACTGCAAAGTTGTTTGAACTGCAAGGTCAGGTGGTTCAAGCTTATTATCAGCTGCTCCTTGGAAACCCTATACAGGGTCACTATGGATCAGAATCAACTCGATGGCACTTTACAACAACAAAGGACTAAATAAAGGTGGACCACAGTCTCCAGATTGTAAATGAACTGCCTAAACAGGAGAGCAACCACTACTACAGCTAAGGAAAGCTCTGGAAAGTCAGTTAACTGAATGAAGGTCAGCAGTCTGATCCCAAGTTAAAGTAGACCATGGTTATTTCAAGTCTGGGACGACTCTGAAAACAAGAATAAGTTACTTACCTAGTCATACCAATTCTGACATCCATTACAACGAGATCATTTTTAGCAAAAAGGTCACTGAGACCAGTTTTTAATTCTGGAGCAGACTTGTTACAATTCAGGTTTCCAACAAATAGATTGAAAGCTGTAGTTGGTTCTACGGCTGTACAAAAAGAGAACTCCAATCAACTTAGTAAAATTCATCTCCATTCAACATTTCTATACCTAAGCACATCAGCAGATCATAATGTAACATCAGATTTCAGTATTAAGTCCCTTTGTCCTTCATCATTTGTGCCGTAAATGTTATTTCTCTAACACCTCTTCTCTAAATTCAGTAAGTTACCTTCCACTTTCTGCTTCTTGGCTTCAGGAGCAGCTTTCTGTTTGGCCATTTCCTTCTTTCGTTTTCCAGGTACTTCTTTGACAGGTTCTGGGTAAGATTTGAAAAGCATCTGTGTTATGAGTTTCAGGTTCAAGTGCCTTCCCCCTATAACAAACTCAGAGTACTTCAACAGTTACTTTACCTTCCTCTTCTTCTTCCTCCTCTTCATCGTCATCCTCATCTTCCTCATCATCTTCCTCGTCGTCGTCCTCTTCCTCATCATCGTCGTCATCTTCCTCATCATCATCATCGTCATCCTCAGCCACACTCTTGGCTTTCACAGGAACCACCTTTACAGGTGCTTTCTTGCCCTTTGCTGGTGTAGTGTCCATGGCCTCGTCTTCAGAATCTACAAGAGAAAAGCTGTTCAGTCCACTCAGAACTATTACTCACTCTAGACAATCTTATGGACAGCTGTCAATGCTACCAGTTACAGAAAGAACGTAATAGGGTCAGTCACACTCTCCTAAAGGAGAGTCATTTGAGAGTAAGGAAGCCCAGAGAATCCCTGTAAGGACTGACCTCACCTCTGGGCTATTATAGCAGAGTGTGCAGACCCCTACACCCTAATTGCCTTGCAACCCTTACACCTCAGGAACTACCAAGGTAACTCCATACCATCTTCTTCATCCTCCTCATCGTCATCCTCCTCCTCCTCGTCATCCTCATCTTCATCGTCGTCATCATCCTCCTCGTCATCAAAGTGAGGGGCAGCTGCTCCTTTCGTCATGATTGGCTCAAATTCATCCTCATCCTCATCATCTTCTTCACTGTCTTCATCATCTTCTTCGTCACTCTCTTCCTTCTTGGCATTCTTGCCATTCTTTGCCCCCTTGGCTGGAGGAGCAGCTCCCTTCTTACCCGAGGTCACCACCACTGCTTTACCTGGGGTGGCTCCCTTCTTGCCAGGTGTTGGTGCTGCTTTGGCTGCTGTAACTGTCTTCTTAGCTGGTGTAGCAGCTGCCTTCTTGCCAGGGGTGACAGCTGCTTTCTTGGACGGTGTGGCAACTACCTTTTTTGTGGGGGAAACCACCACCTTCTTTGATGGCAGTGTGGTATTCTTCTTGCCTTTTTTCTGAGGAATGACAACCTGAAATAGAAAACAGATCTCTGGTACTGCCTCTGGTTCAAGACTACATTACATGCATTAAGACACTCAACACTGGTAGCTAAGGGTACACAGAATTGTACTAATTACAATGATTTGCTGAATGTTAAATTGGTGATCTGTCCTATAAGCCTTCCCTCACTCAATACATGTGAAAGCTTTTTATAAAAATTCAGGTCCATTTGCTATGTACTTTTATTCACCTATGAAATTACAGCCCTTATCTTTCAATTGAGGTTAAATATCCAGGCAACAGGAACCCTTGATACCTTTTTAAGGCCTAACTTTCATCAGAAACCTTCAATACTAAACTTACATGTTTTATTGATGAAATGAATTGATAAGACATACAGACTTGCACACAAAGCTCTAGATGTTAACTACTAAGTCATTTGTGGCTCCTACAGTGGATGGTGTGAGTAGGGCTCACTGAATGCTCAATTCACGGGTCAGCAGATTAAAAAATTGAACAGTAAATAGGCTGGATAGTCAACTGTAGTAAATTAAACCAAAGAATGCACACATTAAAATTTTAAATCACCTTTTATATTCATGTAAATTACATTAAACATGATCAACACTAACAAAGTGAAAAGGCAACTGTTAACATAATTACACACATCAGTCAATCTGTGTGTGAGCTAGAAAAAGGATGCAATAAGGCTAAATATGGTGTCCAGAAACCTGAACATTCAACTCTGCTGATTGTCCAGGCTGTGTCCCTACGTAGTGTATGGAGACAACATGTCGTAACTGGAAAAAAACTTAATGATTTAACATGTCACACCCACCTTAGCTCTGGTAGCATAGTGGTTACAAATCGGGCTGCGAACCAGCTGTTCACTGGGAGAAGAAAGAGGATGTTTTCTGCTCCCATAAAGATTTACAGCCTTGGAAATCCTGTACAGGGTCACTGTGGGTCGGAACCGACTCCACAGCACATCACCCCCACCAACTTTAGCAAAGGGCCCACACGAAGTGTGTTAGGTCTCAAACTTGAATATATTCAAGTACCAAAAAAAAAACACAAAAAAAACCTTGAAATATCAACTAAGAGCTTGTGAGATCACCAGTACATACAGGTATATGTTCAGGAACATTATCTTACTTTCTGTTAGTATATTAAGACACATTACCATCTGTCTTACACTAGATTGTGCATTTTAACTTAATTCCTGATTAAATCATATACCTCTTCTCCACTGCTTTCTTCTTCATCTTCTGACAGTTCCTCATCGTCACTGTCTTCTTCTACCTCTTTGGGTGGAGGAGCCAGCTTCTTGGAATCACTTTGATTTTTCCCGGCCTAAAAAGACACAAGAAGTATTAGCACATTGCCCTTGCAGGCCATTTTGTCTTTTGCCACGCTGGGTGCGCTCTGCCTCTCAAACAAGTTTCCATGCTGCTATATATGCCATCACCGTGCAAAGCATCCTTGATAGCAAATTTTAAAAGACTCAACATGCTGACGTTCATCCCGTGACGTGAGTTTATTAATCAAATATCATCCCTAGGATAGCAAACCTCAGCCTGGCACCAAACATGTTGAAAGCAGGGTGGGACTCCTAGGTTTATACCCTGCACTCAATGTATCTTCTAATTTTACAAGCACATAGTACCGGGGTCGTCACCCCCGGGAAACTACTTTCTCCAAACTGCGGTGCTTCCCTCAATCAACTCGGCCAGAATATAATCGAGGACAAGACCCTTTTACCCTCCCCCTCCTCAGGGTCCTTTCCGAGCCGGTGGGCCACGTGGGGGGAGGTCTCGCAGGCCAGCACGTGCGCGCCGGCAATACCGCCTCCTTCCGGGGCGCACCACGTGCCCGAGTCCCCGCAGGACCCACGCGGTGCGGTCCACGTGGCGAGATGCACGCCGTGGCACGTGCGTCGGAAGGCGGAGCCAGTTCGCTCGCGTCTCCGAATCTCGGGGTACGGGAGCGCCCCTCCGTCCCGAGACCAATGCCCGGTGCCCGCACCTAGTACGAATCTCTATTCCCGCAGCAGTCTTCATCCCCCGCACCTGCCGGCGCGCTTCACTTCGCTTCGCCCCATGTTGCTAAACCCCGCGAGAGCCATCGCTAGTCGCGCGAGACTTCCCCTAGCATGGCGAAGCTGGAACGCGCCTGGGACGGCGCACAGGCCCTCCTCCTCTTCGCGGCGCCGCGCGCGCGCTCTTCAGAAAACAGGCCCCCGACTCCGGTCCTTTAGCGGACTAGGCCACTTACTTTCGCGAGCTTCACCATGATGGCGGCTGGGGACGGCGAAGGATGTGGAGGACGAGTGGCGTAGATAAGACTACGGGAATCCAAACGACGTTGATGGTGGCCCGGTTCTGAAGACGCTGGAGCGCGCACGCTTGGCTACCAGCTACAGCTCGAGACTGAGACGAAAGACTGAGCTTGCCCAGTAATCGCCTCTGGAAAGGCGACGACGGTGCCCTCGTGACCGTGCCTCGACCAACCAGAGAGAGTGTTCATCTCACGAGCCAATCGAGAGCCCGTACCCGAGAACCAGGCGGAGCAGGAGTGGGCGGGCCTAGGCTGACGGAGGAAAGGAGGGGGCTTGGGGGCGGCGTGAGTCGCTTTGTGAGAGGCCACAGCTGATTGGGCAGTGGCCGCGCGGTCCCTGGCGGCCCGCACATGCGGCGCCTGCGCTGTAGGACGGAAGCGTTTGGCGCCTGGTGGGCGCGGATCCGGAGGCGGTTGTTTCTGATAGCCTGCAGTTTTCGAAAGAGTCCTCTGGACCCTGGGGTCTTTGGGGCTTCTGGGGTGCCCCACGCGACTCTAACCAGTACTCACTCTGAGTCTTTCGGCGGCCCTGGGCAAGATTTCGTCCCTGTTTAACTACTGATAAACCGCCGGAAGTTCAGCGACCACTGGGTTCACTTTGCCCCTTTCGGATGCCCTGTCCGGCTACGGGCCGGGGACCGGAAACATCCTCATGGGCGCAGGCGGTTCCCTCCCGAACCGTGAGCCCAAACCTGCCGCCTAAGAGGCGTTCCTAAAAGGCTTAGCGTGTTCAGACTGCTCATCAGACCTAACCGCACAGCGTCCACGTGCGGTGCGTTTGTAACTTTCAAGCCGTCACAGGGATTTATAAAGGGTCGAGAGAGCAACTTAAGTTGGCAGACCACAGCCTGGCCCTGAACCACTTCACAAGTTCCTTCCTTGGTTTTTGCGGCCAATGCCAGTACGGTGGTGGCCCCGTGTGGGTCAGAAAGGACTACCCCATAGGTTTTTCAGTGGCTGGTTTTTTAGTTGATCGCCAGGTCTTTCTTAGGAAGCACCTCTGTTGCTAAGTGCAGTGGAGTGGGTTCTGACTCGGCGTTTCTAAGGAGCGGCTGGTGACTTTGAACCACCGATTCTGTGGTTCAAACCGTTTTCTAGATGGTCTCAAAACTTTCAACTTGTCACTTACCAACCATTTGCACCGCCCAGGAACATGCCCAGGAACTGATTTGTGGTGGTCCCAAGTGTGCTACTTAAGGTTTTCAATGGCTTATTTTTCTAAGGTAGATGATCGCTAGACCTTTGTTCCCAAGTGCCTCAGGGCAGACTCAAACCTCCATTAAAATGTTAGGAATGTGAGGCCAGTGGCACCAGATGGTCCAGAAGTAGGTCAGAGCCAAAGGAAAGGTTCCTACTCTGGCAGAGACACACAAAAAATGGACTAAGATTTTGTCAATTATTCAGGTGGGTTACTTGGTACGTTGTTAAGTGCCATTGAGTCGCATCTGACTCTTAAAGACCCTGTACAGGATTTCCGAGAAGCAGAAGGTGAGTTTGAACCATAGTCCTTGTAGTTAGTAGGCCAGTGCTTATCCTACAGCACCACACCTGGACTCCTTTGTCAGTTATAATTTAACAGTTTATAATAATGTGACAGTCAACAAATTTAACAAACCATTTTGGTTGAAATAGCAAACTTTTTGTTATGTATATCTTACTGCAATAAAACTAAACCCAAAGAAAGAATCTCCCCCTTGGGATACTAATTCAAGAGATCTGGGTTAGGGCCCTGGGTTTTGTATTTTAATGAGGGCCCAGGGGGATTCTGGTGAGCAATCAAGTTATTTTGCAAATCTTCCTGGCCACACACTCCAGAGAATGAGTAAGGAACCCTCCTGGCTCTTTGATGTGAGCTAGGGGATGGGACCAGGTGTGCATCATGAGTTCTGATGATCTGTAGAGAGCCCCCCAAGGAAGATCTCTCCCTTGAGGAGAGACGGCAAATAAGACACTGACTGGGTGAGTGGGCAGAAAGAATAACAGCTGATGGAGTGGTCGAAGACCCTCAGTGTTCCCAGTCAGGAAACAGAGACAAGATGCTTTTGGCACATGTGGGAAGAGGCTGGAGAGATTAACAGTGGCATGGCCAAGTGGCAGGGACAAATTCTAGAAATATGGCAGGGCTGGCACCTTGTCATTCAGATCTGTTTATAGCTCCTCCTGAGAGACCTGACTGGACACACACCCCAGCCTCCAACTTTACGTTGTTAGCCAACTCATGACAACCCAAGCACGACGAAATCAAATGCTGCCAGCCCTCTGCCATCCCTATGTTCCATCACAGATCAGACCCCAATATAAAGTGCCTCTCAGAAGCTCACTACCACATCCCCTAATGAGTCCATCACCTGGTCTATTTCCTGTCTGCTTATTGTCTCTCCCCTATCCCACCCTTCTGAGAATATGTTTTCTGCTGCATTCTTGGCACCCAAAACATTGCTTGTTGTTAAGTGCCATGGAGTTGGTTCTGATTCACAGCAATCCTGTATAGGGGTTTACAAGGAGCAGCTGGTGTGTGGGAACTGCCGACCTAAAAAAACATTGCTTGGCACACAGAAATGTTGAAAATTATTTGTTAAATATATAAGTGACTGAATACAAGGAATCTTCCATTTTAACGGGGTTCTGTTCTGACAACAGAAGTCAGTTCTGAGAAAAGTTTTTCTTTATTTAAAATTTTCTTTATTACTGCTTTTTATTATCCCAAAACCCAGTGTCAGTGAGTCAATTCCAACTCAGCAACTGTAATAGGGTTTTGTGTCGACTAGGCCAGGATTTCCAGAGGTTTAGTAGTTGGGATGTACTTATCCCTAACGAACTCCTGATGAAATATAACACAGGCATAGTTAACTCTATGATGAGCAGCTACGAACAGCCAATCATTTGAGGGGATGCTTTCTTGGGGGTGTGGCCTGGGCCCATTGTAATGAACACATGTGGGAATCTACAGTTGGAAGCCAATTCCTTGATAATAAACCTCTCTTTATATAAATATATGGTTTTGCTTCCCTAGAAAACCTGGCCTAAGACAGCAACTGTATGTTGATAGAGTTTCCAAGGATGTAAATCTTGACGGGAGCAGAAAACCTCATCTTTCTGCCTCAGAGCAGCTGGTGGATTTGAACTGTCAACCTTGTGGTTAGCTGTCCAGGGCTTATTTTACAATGCCATCAGTATCTTTATAAATCCAATCTTTATATATCTTTGGGGGTTGAAAACATTACATCTGAGAATGATAACATTAGCAAATTACATGCTACAACATTTTATGTAGTACATATTACAATAAAATGTGCAAAACAACAAAACTGGATGATCTTTAGTGTGATTTGTCATAACTTGAACATTGAATATGTGTAAGTCAGGAGTTACCTGTGTTTAGGTGTGATAACTGTATAGGTTAGGGATCAAGTGTATTTCTTTGAGTCCCATAGTCCAGAATAGAAAAATAGTAATACTTAGACTTACATGAAGTCTTGGTGTGGCCTGTAGGATAAGCACGGAACCCCAAGGTCAGTTTGAACCTCAAGGTCAGCAGTTCAAACTCACCAGCTGCTTCTCGAACACTTCATGTAGGGTTGCTATAAGTGCCATGGAGTCAATTCCGACCCACAGCGACCCTGTATAAGGTTTCCAAGGAGCAGCTGGTGAGCTTGAAATGCCAACCTTGCAGGTCAAATGGCTTTGCAGCCTGGCGCCTTAACCCACAGCGTCACCCCAGGACTCCCATAAACCAAGGCAGTTCCAGTCAAATTCTGAGGGGGTTCACTGTAGAGTGCTGTCTACATGCCAGGTACTCTTCCAGTATTTACTAACTGCAACAATCACTTTTTAGAAGGATCAGTCAAGGGCTGCTCCCTATAAAGTGGAGATTAAAGATATCCCAAATGTCCAACTTTTCCAAGATGCTATACCAGTCCATGGAGTACTAGTGTGGTGCTGCTGTAGGATAAGCACTAGACTGCTAACCACAAGGTTGCAATTCAAACCCACCAGCCCCTCCTGAGAAACCCTATACAGGGTCGCTATGAGTCGGAACTGACCAAAACCAGTGACCAACGACATATCACCTCCCTCCCCCATCAGTATTCTCCCTCCTGACCCAGGGTTCTGCAACTCACAGAATTCACAAACGGTTAAGAAAGTGGCTCATGCTTCTGTGCAGGCTGGCACAGAACCCTATTTGAGGGGCCCCATGCAATCATTTAAGGAGCTCTGGTAACGTAGTGGTTACAAACCAGGCTGCTAATCTCACCGTCAGCAGTTCAAAATTACCAGTTGTTCTGTGGGAGAAAGATGAGGCTTTCTGCTCCCTTAAAGATTTACAGCCTCGGAAACCCTGTACAGGGTCACTATGGGTCGGAACTGACTGCACGGCACGTAACAACAGTGCAATCATTTGGTGGGAGTTACAAAGACTATGACTAGAAGAGACGTATTCCCAATACTACCCTACTACCTCTAGTGCTGTTAGCAAAATACCGCAAGTGATGGCTTTACCAAAACTCTATTCTCTCACAGTTTCGGAAGCCAGAAGTCTAAATTCAGAGGAGTCCCTCAAGAGGAAGACTTTCTCCCTCCATGGGCTCACAAGAAAGGTCCTTGTTGTCTTCAGCTTTTGCCTCCTAGCTCCTTGGAGATCTCCGTGTACCTTGGAATTAATCTGCCCCCATCTCTCTCTCTGACCGTTTCATCTCTTTACGTCTCAAAAGAGATTGACTACAGGCACAACCTCCTATTAATCCCACCGAATATCACAGAATCCTCATTCCCAAATGGGATTGTAAACACCGACATAGATGTTAGGGTTATGCCACAAATTTGAGGGGGGAGGGACACAATCCATTATAGATTGTTGTAAGGACTAAGTGAGATACTGGATTTATTTTTCTGAGGGCATATAATTGTTGTTGTTGTGAAGTGCCATCGAGTTGGTTCTGACCTGTATAGGGTTT